TAGATAACTCGATATAAATTCAGGACAACGCGACAATTGTATTACTTCCGAAACGAAGCAAAAGGAAACACTTCCTTGCGGGAAGTTCAGTTCAGTACGATCTTTCGTTACCAAGGAACACACCGTCACCACATCACCGCCACAAATCAAAGAACGTATGGCTTAGAACTAAAACCTGAGAAGTGGTCATCCAGCTCTTATAAGCACCGTGCCGTTCAATGGCCGCTGCCACCGCATCAGGTTTCCTGTGCCGGCCGATGCCGATCAGTTTTGGTTATTGCCAAAATCCGCTGAGCGCTGCAATTCATTTTCTGGCGTGCTCGACATTTTTATGCAGAATTTATATGAATTTACGAAGTTTTCTATCTGTTTGTGCTGCACTTTGTCCAGTTTTGGACGGCGCACTGAACCCAAGCCGGGTTCTGCACCACGAGCGGCTTCCGCAAACATGTTGACCCCCATTCGCGATGGGGTCAATGAACATTCAGTCACGTTGCCAGCTTCTAGATCATTTAAATTTTTGGGTCAGTTATGGGGTTTTCTATGATTTTAAAAAACAAAAATTTTTTGAAGGAATAGGTAATTCTACTTCTACTAGCTTATTTAAGGCTATATCGACAATATTTTGACCGCGAGTACTTAAAAGTAGTTAATCTTGTAGAAAATTGATTCATCAATGGGATAAAACTATGTGGGCATGGCTAAATGTTCTATGTAGCTAGTAATACTCAACAGAATATCAAAAACGAGGAATATGAGCGACTATCCTCTTTCGTTTTTTTTTGTGACCTATTTCGTTAAATCCTTTTTTTGTTTGAACTATTTCGCTAAAACCTTTTTTTACGCAAAATGCAATAAAAGCAATTATTTAAGGTAAGCCAGTCAAATATAAAATTAAATTACTAATTGGATAAAAAAACGTGGGCATGGATAAATATTTTATCTAGCTAGTAATATTCTACGGAAGATCAAAAACGAGGAATATGTAAAATATAACTTGAATTCGTCAGTATATTTACGGTATATTTTTTAAACGAGACGGTATGTTTCGGTATATTTCTGAGGGTCTGACGGTATATTTTATCGGTCATCACAAGTTTTTTAATTTTATTTATTAATAACAAAAGGCTGCGGAACGAGAGCATCGAATGAGATGAAATGTGCCAGAGTCGTGACTTGCTTTGTTTTGTGAGGCGTTAGGGCCTGGAGCACTCAAAGTTTTCGCAACACGGGCCTTGAAGCGGTGCCGTTTTCCGTCAGTTTTTCTAGACGGAAGGAAGAATAAATTAAGTCTGATTTTTAGAGTTTGGGGAGGCAATGGAGACTGATTATCAAAATTATGTCGAGTCATTGTCCGGTGTATCTTCAGATGACGATGATATGTCCACAGTGGACAGTTCGGACGAGACTTCAGAGGAGCCGACCCCCTCGCCAGCGCTCAACACGCGAACCCGAAACCTGGGCCAAATGCTGTACGACAGGGAGGTGAGTGCACATTGGACAGACCACCGAAATCCCACCGACTTGTCGCTAAACACAATTTACATTACATCCATATCTGCAGCGCTCTGGATTCTTCTCGGGCACATCACGTGCTGGCCAAAAGCAGCAACTTCCATATGACCGGGTGCCAAATAGATTAAAATTGTATCTCAAGGACGTAATAGCCAGCAGTGTCATGGAGGGGTAAGCAGTCCACATCATTACATGTCGCTCCGTCCCTTATGTAGCCCAATACTTCCAGACACATATTCATGGGATTGACTGCCTGCGGCCAGTACATGCTCAGCCATCGGGTCACCTGTAACGAAGGACTTAATCACTACTCCTTCAACATGGGCTACAAGTACACGTGAGTGTCGCCTTCCAGCTATTCAACGACGCATCCCATAAGTTGCTGAAATAAAAACCCCTCTTTTTTGCAGTCTTTACTTCTGGATCTTCCAGCCGTACAAAAAGCTGCGCTACTTCTTTACGCGACGCCTCTTTGATGATCATGTGGTGGACAACATTAAGACTGTCAGCATGACTCAGTGGAAGAATGCTGGGAAGCAAATCTTGGTTGTGCATGGCGCTGCCACGGAGGAGAGCGAAGATAGCTATATCACATATGTTAAAGTTCCTAAGCTTGGTTGTTTGGAGTGCAAAAAACTTAACGATGACGGTCCATGTATGTGCAGTCAATCAATCATCACTTGAATACCGGTTAGAGTGCCCCCCTAATTTGTACACTTCTTCTTCTACAGATTCCTTCTACAACGCGCACTGCCTGAATTGCCATTTGACTGTGCATACCAAGTATTCTTCGACTGAAACGGATCCCGGATTCCAGCCAAAAATCAATCTTCTTTGCCCCGAGCGCATTCTGATCATTTCCAATGGATTTATGCACATGCTCCGCATCGATGTTGACACGCCGGTCGTGTCCACTAGCAGCTACTTAACTCAGCAAAGCCTCGTCCTGCCCTATCCCCAGCAGCCACAGTCACAGTGCTTCCTCCTGCCACGCACTTTGGGGCCCAGCGAGGAGGATCGCGCCTCCGTAGTCTTTACAGGCTCCGGCTCGGAGGCTGAGTCGGGCAATGAGCAGAGTGTGGTGGCACGCATCATAGCTGACTTTAGTGATATCGAAACGGAGCAGACTCAGCGCACGGGCCAGTCCAGTAATCATAATATTAATAATAACAACAACAATGAGCTGCAGGTCAACAGCATTTGCTGCTCGCCACGATCCTATGAGAAGCACGTTTTCACACCCAACTGTAGCGCCGCAATGGGGTCCAGCATGACACTGCCGGAGACCACGTTGCCCGTAGCCAAGCAAAGCACAGTCAACGGAGAGGCGGGGCAATCGCGCAAACGTAATCAGCGGATAGTGACCAAGTCCTATCGCAACGGCATCACCACCATAGACGTGCAGGTAATTGCTTTGCACATATTCTAATGTATTTATTCTGACAGTATTGTGGCTCTCCTCCATTTAGAGTACTCCCAGTTCCACCTCCATGACGGACAAATCGAACGCCTATGAGTTTTCCGAGGACAATGAGAAATACGAGAAGATTTCCACATTTCGTAAGCGTCGACTAGCCGACAAGAAGTACGAGTTTTCTGAGGACAACGTGGAGAATATTATACCATTCACCAAAGTGCGCTCGGCTGGTCGCGCCTCGGCACCAAATTTTAGTTCCTCTGCCGGCAGCTCTACGGCCCGCAGTTTTCATCGCTTCTCGCCCACGGCGCACTTCTTTCATAACTCGCCATGCGCGTCACCGTCCTCTTCACCACATCCGTCACAAACACCACCGCATTTGGGCTTTCGATCGCCGCCATCCAGCTCGAACCTTATGCGATCGCCCAGCCGCGCAGCTAATTCGGCTGCGGCTGCTGTCGCAGCTCAAATCTACAACCAGAAGTCGCCGCCGCTATCGCAGGCCACACAGCAGATGCTCAGCTACAAGCCTGTGGGACCCTTGGGGGCGCTCTCTCCGCTACAGGTGTCCATGGCCAAGCGTTTCGAGATTGGTGGCTCTATGTCGCCCAATGCGGGGCTGTCCTTTCTATCGCCCCGACGCGATGAACCCCGCATTGTGGAGATGCCTGTGCAGGGAGGAGTAATGCCAGAGAAGCCGGTATGCACTAAGAAGCTGAGACGCCGCTATGTGGAAGAGGACGATGCCACTTCGGTTATCACCAGCGAGGAGGGTAAGAAGGAATAAAGAAATGTAAAAGATAAGAAAAACATTGTCTTGGTATCGTTTAGATGACTGCATATCGCCGGGATATCACACATCGCTGCCCATGGAAGTACACGGCTCGTGCTATTCGGAAATGCAAATGATTTCGCACGCCTCCTATCAGCGCCTGCGCTGCAGCAGTGTGGTAATCACCCAACACTCGTTCGATCTGGAGACCTTCACGTACTATGTGATTAGTTTGCTGTGCCAGAAGCACCACAAGATCTACAATGTGTTCTACGACTGGGCCTACGAGGTGATTAGCGTCTGCCCCCTGAGCCAGACGGTCAGCTGCCTGCTCATGGCCCAGTTCTCGGCACGAGATCAGCCCTACGCTCCGCTGACGAACTGCCTGCACTGCACCGGCCGCATAGACTGTATGTTCCACAATCGCCAGTACGAGTGTCGCATACTGTTCACCTGGAACATGGAGAGCGGCCAGTGGCAGGTCCTGGACTACGGCGAACTTCGGGAAATGCACGAGCTCTTCAATCCACTGAAGCGTCTGTGCAAAGCGCGCCTGACCTTTGCCCAAATGGCCAAGAAGATGGCCAAGGAGATGACGGAGAGCTTGAACAAGCTCCCCGACTACGCCTCCAATCTACGTGTGCTCAACTCGGATATTAAGAAGTCAAAATCGTATATCTGCGATCTCGACAACATGGTGGAGTTTCACCTGAAACGCACACCCCAAGGGACGCTCTGAGCAGCTCTGAGAATCTGCGGATTCACTTGCTCTCTGCCAAGATTTTTTTTTCGTACAACTCGCAACGGTTGCGTGCATCTAGTTCAGTTCTAAACACAACAAAAAACGTGTGCTGTATTTAGTCTTTAGTTACCTACATACCTACATATATGTATATCTTACTTAGTGCAACGAAACGCTTTTGCAAACGGTCCTAATTTCGACTGAAGTCATTTAAGTAATCTACGATCTAGGTTCTAGTGGAATTTCGTAAGGAAAGAGGGCTTGGGCCAAGGGCTCTGGCTCTGGCTCAGGCTTTGCTCATCATACATTTATACTTACAATAATTGTATACTTTTGATATTTGAGATTGCAATTCAACTATTACTTTAATATTAGTTAGTAACTCTACGAACTACGGTACTAACGATGCCAGTACTAATTTAGTTAGCGGCCGCCCTTCTCCTCTGCAGGGTGTGCATAAAAAATATACAACTTTAATCTAAATATCTAAATATATTTCCAAAAAATACAATTTCCTGAAATGTAATACTCCAATCAATGGAAGGGAGCCCCAATTAATTCCTTTCGCTATTACCAAACTTGTCTGAATCCGGATTCCGACTGCTGCCGGTAGAGTCCGTGGCTGTACTGTACCTGTTTTGGATGCTGAAAGAATTCAAACAATTTGTAATGCAAATACTCTTGCTCTCTCTTATTGATCTTACCGGTAATGGATTGACCGGAGTATGTCGCAGTTACAGAATGTGGCCAGGAATATGATCATGCCCTGACTGCAGTTGATCAGGTCAGCGGCTGTAGTAAATTCCTCAAAAACCTTCTCCATATAACAAATAAATGCCATGATCTCCAGACACCAACTGCCGCCCATTATGATGAACAAACGCAGATACACGCGGTAGCTGAAGATATTGAATATTGCAACCAATGAAACGATTGGTAATGGCACCGATTGGTTGCCCACTTACTTGGCTTTGTTGGTGGACTTTCGTTGGCGTTCGTTTTGGTTAAGCACCTGCTGATTCCTCTTGTTCTCCACATAAATGTATCTGCTTGTCAATGCAAACATCGTCCCGTTGAGAAGTATCAGTATTATGAGCGGCGAATAAAAATAGTACATGGCCGACCATCCTTCCGCTATAAAGAAAAAAAAGCATCATCGCTTGGTTCCCAGAACAGATACTATAGATCGACATACTATAGATCCAGCATGTGTACTCTCCCACACCGGGTGTGAGGGGATTCGCCGAATTGAACTTGGTGAAAAGATCAATCATTAATATCCCCAAAGTCAGCACGGAAGCCGTGCTCCAAACGATGTAGTTGTAGTTGAGGAAGCTACTCCGGCTGTTCCTGTTAAACTCGTGAAACCGGCGCAGCGCGAATCGTCTCCACAAGTCGAAGCTTATCACCGACAGCCAGAGAAACGTGGCCATTACAGCGAAATACCCAGCGTATCCTGGAAACGTAATCCAGTTCCGTGTAGTGCCAGTCATCAGAATTATATTCTAGGTCTTACCATTAATTTGACACAACAATGAACGAGGGCGAAATACATCAAACATACTGAAGACATTCAGCAGGAAGGTGGCTGCCAAGCAGATGAAGTACAGATTGCAGCACTTTCCATGCAACGAATGGAATCTGGGCAGCCAAAAGTATACGGCAATGGTAATTACCATACATATTATAGAAGCCGACTTGACTGGAAAAAAGGAATCGGCCAGATCTCTTGGTGAACACCCTCTTGTGTGGCTTACCGTAGCCCATGACCATGGAAGGCTCCACAACGCAGTTGTAGGGCGCGATGGTATAATCGTAGTATGTTATGTTGCTCGCCATTCGCGGCTGCAGGCAATACTCCTGCTTGGAAAGGTTCTTCTTGTCGTAATCCCTCAAAAGTTTTCCATCCTAGACAGTGCATTAGTTTAATTTGTATAGAAATGGCAGAGATATACCCTAACAAACCTCGAACAGGGTCCACTGATCTTCAGAGGACAATTCTCTGTCAAGTGCATAATGAGTCTTACATGGCAGAGGTAGGTCTTCCTGCACAAACATCTCTGTCAAAATATGTTTACTCGCTATCGATCCATCGTCTTGCATTATATCCAGCGTCATGTCGTAGGATAGTGAGTTCTCTTTCTTGGAACACCCGAAACTTTTCATCCGCTTTATCATCGGACAACAGAATCGAATGCAGGTCTTCAACTTGCACACACATCCTCGGATGTGCTTGGGCACGGATATCCTATCCCCGTCGTACTGGATCACATAGTCGTATTCTCCAGTGAGACTCGCAGGAACTGTGAGATTCTTGTATCTATAAGATCCATTTCCTGCCTTGAAGCTGCTCGTTATATTGACCGTATCGAAGAAGTCGCAATCGGGGATATCGTTAGTCCGCACACCAATGGCCATTAGGATGCTCAGCAGGAGCAGTGTGCATCCACATACGCGGCTATTCATTCCGAGTGGCACTTGTAATGCTAGTTTTCCGTTATGTCGACTAGTCGGTCCAACGACTCAATCCGTAATAACCATCCGACTTGGCTCCGTTTAATGATATCACACATATACTTGCTATATTGAAATGATTCCTTGGAGTCAAGAAGTTACTTTTATCAGCAAAAGCACATGTATGGGTGCTTGGGCATATAGTATAGAGAAATATTTGATATCAGACTGTAATTTACAAGAACATATGGAATTAAATTTAAATTGCTTTTCGAGGAACGGCTCAAAGCTGCTATGGGAAATCTCGACTCTTTCTGGAATCCGGGATATCTATGATAGACCAAAGTAGCCAAGATCTCAGCTTTAAAACAACTACAAAAGAAATTTTCCAAAAATTTAAAAGTTTATTCAACGTTCCCATAACAATAGGGAATTTATGTCATATCCTGCTTGAGCTGGAAGTCCTGTGTCACACTGCATGTTGCAGACTCAACTCCACTTAACCGTCTTTCGTGGGTTCTGAAAGAAGTAGTTCAGTTTCTTTAAAAGATACATTAGTGGCAAAGATAATGCACTCACCGCTCACGGATGGCCCTGATCATGTCCCTGTTGCAGAATGTGACAAGGAATATTATGATCCCCTGGCTGCACTTAATAATATCAGCTGCTACAATCAAGGGCTTGCAGACCTTCTGAGTTTCACAAATAAATGCCACGATTTCCAGAACCCAACTGCCGCCCATTATGATGAACAAATGCAGATAAACGCCGTAACTAAATAAAACATATAAAATAATGTGCCTATAAGATACATGTCTTAAAGAAACTTTTACGATTTACATTAAATGTTGAGAAACCTCATTAGATCTCATTCACTTTTGGGAAACTTAAATGGATTTGGATCTATAAATGAAATATATAACATATAATCATACCTTATAACAAAATATAAAATTTTGGATTCACATACTTAGCTCGATTCTTCGACATTTGTTTCTGTTCGATTCCGTTTAACTTTTTTGAACTGATCTTGTCCAACAAGTAAATGTGACGGGTTGTCACAGAGAAAATTGTTAGGTTGAAGGATAACAATATCGCCAGCGGAGAATAAAAATAGAGCATTCCCGACCAACCTTGAGCTAACAGATATAAGAGATTTTCCATAATTCAGAGACAGAGTTTAAATCGTAAAAGACATGTACCTAAGATCCAGCAGGAGAACACGCCCACAGCAGGTACCAAGGTAAAAGTTTTGTCTGGTTTACTAGAAAATGGTACAAGTCTGTCTACCAAGAATACGACCAGAGTCAGTGCTCCAGCAATGCTCCAGACGATGAGGTTATAGTTGAGAAAACTCCTCCTTCTGGCCTCTTGGAGCCCTTGCGACCGACGCATAACGATTCGGCTCCACGCATCGAAGCATATGACGGAGAGCCAGAGAAACGTGGCCATCGTTGCAAAGTACCCAGCATAACCTGGGTTAAAAATGTGTTTGTTTATCGAACATGTATCAGGTGGGATGATTGTATGATGCTACCATTAATAGAGCATGCCATTTTGCTGTCGAATACGTTGAAAATGCTGAAGACATTCAGCAGGAAGGTGGCTGTCAGGCAGATAAAGTAGAGATTGCAGCACTTTCCATGGAGGGATTGAAACTGGGGCAGCCAAAGGTACACGGCAATGGTAATGGCCATGAATAACACAGATATCGCCTTGACTGGAAATAATATTCAGAGAAAACCATACTAAAAGATCTATTCTATTTTAGTCCTTACCATAAGCCATTGTTCTGTCCGGATCTATGGAGCAGTTGTAAGGAACGATGGTGTAGTTATAGCCTATTTGTTCCCTTGACATCCGGGGCTGCAGACAGTAGTCCTGCTTGGAAAGGTATCTCTTGTCGTATTGTCGCAAGAGCGTTCCATTCTGGAGGGATGCCTTCCATTAATTTGATTATAAATGAAACAATTTTACGCTGTCAAACCTCGTATAATGTCCACAGATCTGTGGTATATTTATGTTTGTTTAGGGCATAATGATTGCCACAAGGCAGTGGAAGATCCTCCTGCACAACAAAAACCTCTAAAACGTGTTTACTTGTTACTGTTCCATTGTCTTGGGTTATATCCAGGGTCATGTTGTAGGCGTACTTGTTCTGGCTTTGTGGCGAGCACCTGTTGTACGGCATCACTTTACTCAGTGAACAACAGAATCGAATGCAGGGCTTCACTCTGCATACACATCCTCTTGTATGGCTGGCCACCGATCTGCTGGCTCCGTCGAACTGGATCTCGTAGTCGTACTCCCCCGTTAGAGACGGGGGAATGATGAGACCTCTGTAAGTGTAGGATCCATTCGGGAACTTCCAGCTGTTTGCTAAATTAACAGTATCGAAAAAGTTGCAGCCGGGAATGTCAGCAGCTATGCTGCCAGCGAATAGGCCCAAAAAGGTGCTCCAAAACGGTGCCACATGCATCCTGAATAACGACCGATCCGTTGCACCACTTGATGCTGAATAAACTGGTCCAGTGCCCCACTCGGCACTCTGTCCCAGATTTCGCTAAAACTCCGAGTCATAGATATGCCATATCTGCTGCGGTCAAGCCAAAGGGTTGGCCCTTTGTGCGTCATTACTCATTTTGAGTATCGGGTATAAAAAGAGGTACCGCTCTGCAAGAAATACACAAGGGGGGGTTTCATTTTGTAGTGGTTTTTATTACATCTGTATACACATATAAAATATATTAAACAGTAACGTAGTTGTATATTAACAGTACCGTAGAGCAAACGTAATCATACAGTCGTTACACATTAATTCAAAAGATCAATAATCGTTTGTGCTCGGTTCAGCCAATTATATCGTTTTCCCAGTGCTCGCGTGGATCGGCAGAAACAGGTGACAGTCGAAACAGGTTTAATATTTTCCTTTATTCCGCTGCGGGATAACAAAATAAAACACAAAGAAATAAATCAACTTAGGGGCTGGTAGGGGTAAGTAACTAACTATAGTATTAGGACCGCATTTCGAGAATGAAACTTGGGCTTTCTTTCTTTCGGTAATAGAAAAGTTTTTGGGTTTTTTGTTTTAATTGTTTTTTTTTGTTTTGTTTTTTTTTTAGCTCCTCCTTGGGATGTGTGTGTGTGATAACCAACGAACTTAAGATAATTTGTCGCTAAAATACAAACTTAAACGAATGACAATTTGCTTTGCTAACAATATTTACACATCGAATTCATACATACTATATAATAGGTAATATTTCATTTTGATTTGTTTTTATCCATTTCCACTTCCACTTCCTTTTACGTTTACGTTTACGTTTACGCTCTACACATATCCTCTTTGACTAGTGGTTTACTATATAGTACGCGTATGTATACATATATTATATATAATATATATTTTAATATGTACGTTTGATTGGGAGGGGGACTACCGGTGCAGGACCCTCCCCCACTTGGCTATAGACTACCTGATTTGAAACCACAACACTTATGTAATTAACACTGCAAAAACGTTAAACTCCTAAAAAAAATACATTTATTTCACAATTAGTTGTTTTTTGTTTTTTTTGTTGTTTTTTAGTTTTTGTTTTTTAAAATCCATTAGATCTTTTACGTGGGACTGACTCTTGGCATCATATTTAGCACGGTACGGTGTACATTTTGCATATTTATTTTACATTTCTATGCTTTATAATAGACATTGATTTATGGTGAATTTTTTGTTGCTTGTTAGCTTTGTTCAAAATAGTTGGCTAGCAAAACTATTTTCCTCTAATTTCTTCCTCTAAACATCTACTTTCCGATCTTGTCTAGGCTCCCGACCATCCAGCCTTTGAGGCTGTTCCGATCTAATCCAAAATTATCCTCTATCCTCCCTCCTCTCCTCTCATCTCATCTCATCTCACCTCCATGACGCAGATGTCGCTTGGTTTTTGAGTTGAGATTAATCATTTGATGATTATTCACAGAAGTTCTGAGGTAGTTGTTCTATCTGCTGCTCCATCTGCTGCCTCCTTACCAGCTGCTGTTCATCGCCTGCTCCAGCTTGGCCTTGGCCACGGCCGCGGCGGCCACAGCCGCCACCTGGGCAGCCGCCGAATTGGCCCCCACCACGGAGGACAGGGGACCACCGGCGGATGCGGAGGCGGCAGCTGCGGCCACTGCGGCCTGCTGTTGCTTGCCAGCTGCAACGGCGGCAGCGGCTGCAGCGGCGGCCAGCAGGGAGGCCGACGGAGAGCTGGGCATGAAGTTGACATTGATGTTGATGGGATGCACCACCGGCATGCTCGAGTAGCTCTTCTCCAGCAGGTCCATGCCGTTGAGGAACGGCACCAGGGCGTTGTAGTCGACATTGAGGGGCACGTAGTAGTTGCCCTGGCCGTGCAGGGCGAAGATGGGCACGGTGAAGGAGTGTCGGGGCGCCAGCGAGGTGGTGGTGCTGCTGGGAGTGCTCAGCTGGGCTCCGGCGGCAGCGGCCGCGTTGAGCTTGGCCAGCAGCGGACTGGAGTTGGAGTTGCTGTTGTGCAGCTCCGACTTGATGTCCTTGATGTCGCTGAAGTTGAACGAGGGCGAGGACTTGGTGTCCTCGCGCAGCATCAGCAGCTGGCGGGGCGGATTCGGGCTGCTGGCCTCGCAGTGCACATCCAGGGGGTGCTCCCCATTGGCCACTGCCGCCGCCGCCGCTGCTGCCTCGGCCATCTTGCGCTTCTTGGCCATGATGGGGGCTATCTCCGGCTCGGTGCCGTCCTTGGAGTGGTCGGAGTGGGCCTGCATGTGCGAGTGGTCGCTCTGGAGATGGGACGCCACCGCGCAGTGTTCGCTGCTCGTCTCCTCGTCGTGCAGCTCGTGGACGAAGCGCTCCTTGATGTGGTTCTTGTACTTGTAGTTGTTGTTGTGCTCCACCTCGTGCGAGGACTCCGAGTAGTTGCGCATGCGCACCGACATCAGGCTGTCCTGGGTGTGGTTGTGCCCCAGATGCGGATGCTGCTGCAGCAGCATGTCCCGCGGCGGCGGCGAGTGCATGTTGGAGGTGTCCGTGTGGAGGATGGGCTCCCGCGACGAGTCAAAGTCGTGGTGGCTGCTGTCCGTGTGGTGGTGCGGGGCCGTCCACGTGATCACTGCCGCCTGGTGTGGCAGCTGCTGCTGCTGCTGGTGGGCGGCCATGGGCGGCGCCACCTTCTGAGCCACCGACGCGGATGTGATCGCTGGGCAGGTGACCGTGCTGGGGCAGGTGGTGGAGCTGGCCGCATTGCTGCTGCCAGCAGCGGGCAGAGGGCCCGTGGAATTGGTGGGAACATTGTCGCCAGTGGCGTTGCCATTCCCATTGGTCAGGGGCAGCTTGTTGGCGGCCTCGAGGGTGGTGGAGCTGGAGGAGCTCCCGCTGCCATTGGCAGCCACGGCGGCAGCAGCGGCGACTGCCTGCTGGTTCCGATGCAGCTGGTTGAGATGATTGCGGAAGCTCAGGTCCTTGACATCGTTGTGGTCCTGGCTGTGCTCCACGTCCGAGGCCCCCAGCATGTCCCGCAGGTGGCACAGCGGCGGATGGTAGGCCTGGTGCGGGCTGCCGCTGGAGGCGCTCACATTGTCCGGCATGTGGCAGGTCCGCGAGGACTTGTAGCACTCGGCTGGAGGGCAGACAAAGAGGGGGTTAGAATATGAGTTTAAGGGGGGAAAAAGATCGAATCCACTCACTTTTGAACATGTCATCGATGTGCTCCTGCAGACGGCCCAACAGGCGGTGGCAAAAGTCCTGCATATGGACGTCGTAGAGGAACTTGGCCGCCTCCTTCATGCAGTCCATGTACCCGCTGCGGTAGTCGCTCTCCTTCTGCAGGCACTCGCTCTGCAGGTGCTTCAGGTGTCTGATGGCCATCTCGATGATCTCCGTCTTCTCGATGCGGCCACGGCCCTTGCGCTGGTACTGGGGCGGGATGAGGCGCGAGAGATCCGCCAGGCAGGAGTTCATGCGATCCCGGCGCCGCTTCTCGATGATCCGGTGCGATAGGGGGTCTTGCTGTGGGGACACGAGAGACACATAGAGAGCTTCGATTAGATGCGGCTTGCTTGGGGACCAGCGACAGGCGGGGGGTGGGGAGATAGGCATTATCCTAGTAATGATTGGTCGGTGGCGGTGGTTTTTCTTCTGATTTGTAATTTCATTTTTATTTTCACTTTAATTTCGGTTTTCTTTTCTTTATTTTATTCGTTCTCTTTGTTTCAACAATAAAAAAAAATGAGTCAAAAGCGGCGGTGGGCGGCGTCGGTGTGCGTGGGGGGCCGCAGGCATCGGCCTCTCGCGGGCGTGGCTGTGCGTGAATTTTCGTGTGTTTGAGTATGTGTGTGGGGGGGGGTGTGTGTGAGAGTGTGACAGATACATAGATACATCGGCATCGTCCAGGCGCTGCACTTAAGCCTCTCTCTCTCTCTCTCTCGCTCTCTCCCTCTCTTTTGATCCTTTGATCTTGTCGTCGGTCGTCCGTCTTTATTCGCGTGGTATTCGCATTTATTCGATTGTATTCGTGTTTTTACTTGTCCAAATTCAAATGTATTCAAATTCATGTGTTCACAATCGAAATGATCAATGAGTGATCGCTCATGATCAGTTTCTGGATCTCTAAAATTGTAATATTTACCCTCGATGTTTTATTACGTCTTCCTGTGGCATATTCAGCATCGTCCTCGCTGTATGCCGTCGCAGAGGTGGAAAAATTTAAGCTAGATTCTGTGCAATAGGGAAAACTGGAGACAGCTGCTTCGCTATATTTTCGTTTTTCGATATGCAAAAGAAGTGGGAAGGATAAAGATAAAGAAACACAAATAAGTCCAAATTTTGTTCAAAAAATGTATTGTTTTTTTGTTTGTTTTTTTCTTGTTTGTTTTAGTTTTTTTTTTTTAATTTTTCATTTCGATTGTTTTTCGGTTTTAGTAATGCATTTATTAGGCGCATAACTTAGCCTGACTTAGAAGTAGTAACTAGGGCTAATTAGGGCTAAGGATTAATATGTTTATTTCGTTTCGTTTATTTCAGAAGCTACAAAATACAATCTGCAACATGGCTGCAACGGAACAGAGAGAACATAATAAACATTAAACGTGGATTAAAGCACCAATTGGCATCGAGATTGAAGGATCTTGAGCCAGCATTCACCCTGACACTGGAGAGGGGGCGGTGGGGGCGGGAGTGTCGCTTGGTTGTGTTTTTTGTGTTGTAATCAAAAAAAGATGGTAAAAAAAATATGCCTTAAAATACGATACGTAATTGTTTGTTGTTATTCCAGGATCCAGGATCGTTCAGCATTGTGGATTGTGCATTGTGGATTGCATGTGGATCCCATTCGCCATTTCCCTTTCAGACAGGCCAAAAAAAATTGTTTTTCATTGGAAAAATCTATCTCGCCGTGTGGTATGGGGAAAAACCAATTGAAACGAGCCAATCCCCACACGTTTTCACGTTTTCATATGCACTCCATATATTAGAGCGGCTAATTTTAGCCTCTACACGTTTTTATTGCCATGTGCCAAAAATATAATAAAACAGAGAGAAAGAGAGAGCCAGAACTCGAACCCACTGAAAACACAACAGGAAAAACTGTTGCCAAGCGCCACAGAGAAAATTCACTAAATGCCAATTCCCGAACCAAAACAAACAAAAATCGCTTGAGGTACGGATACGGGCAATCATAATGAACGGCGGCACGGCGTGGGCCAAGTCGAAAACGCTAGAAACCAAAATAACCGAACGACCAGAGCACCAGAGCACCAGAGCACCAGAGCAGCACAGCAGACGATACAAAGAATAAGTGTCAGGGCTCTGGGGTCTCTGGCGGCGATAAGCGACAACAGACAACAAACATTAAGCAAATATAGTATATATATATCTATGTATATCTATTTGTACATATCATTTTATAAAAGATATACTAGAACGCACCAGTCCATGGCGCCTAGAACTTGTTTATCTGACAGCAACACAGCCTCTCCTGCCATCTAACATCTACCAGCTAGTGGCCCCTCCCTCTACTAACTTGTTTTCAGCTGGTCTTGGCGTTTAGCACAATTTGCATTATTTGATCTGTAAGCCATAGCCAATTATCAGTATTTGAGAATGTCGAACTGCGGCTCACGCTGCGTATGAGTAATGCAAAACAGATTTCAATCCAATCCAATGGTTCGCCTTGGTGGCGACTCTCGAGTTGATTGCACTCTGCCCGACCCGATTGTCCGAGTGTCTCTGTTTGTTTTTTGGGGGACAACGTGAACAGGGCGTGTACGCCGCATCGGTTTACATCAGTGGCCAAAGAGCAGGCGTCGGCGAGTGTCACCAATCACTCGCTTGATTCATGCGATGGCACCCCAACAAGTTGGCAACGTGCCCCCTTTGGGCTGCAGTTCCTAACGTTTGTTTATGTTTTTTCTCTTTGCTGTCGCACTATTAAGTAATTGGCCCCCGTAAATATAGGAATGAGGTACGTAGAACGCTCCGAGGCGACACAGACATCATCATCATCATCATCTACAGGTAGTCTCTGTGACGACAGTCCCCGCTGATCAGTCGCCCATTGCTTGCCAAAGGCATGAACAGGCACGGCCATTTTCCGCTCACCCGATTTCCCGATTTCCGATTCACGTTTATCTCTCATGCGTGTAGCGGTGACAATTACCCACACCCATACCCATACCCATACTCTCGCTCTGCTATCGATATGCCACTCAAATGAACTTGTTTCCTGGCCTTATCGGTACGGTTGTAAGGTAACTAAACCCAAAAACTAGTAGATAAGATTACGCAGCTGTACACGTGACGATGTTTTTTTGTTCCTTCTATTATTATGGCCATAAATACTGATATAGTAAGCCAAAAACAACTGGTTCTTGGCAGTTGTACTCGGTTTAATCTTGGCTAACAGGCGTTGGGGAATTTACAGAATAAAGATTATTCGTTTATGGGGCCCCCGAAAGACGTCAGACCTGGGATACAGGGAGCTGTAATAACGAATAACAAAGTATGGTATATTCAAGTGACTCACATGAAGTGAGTGATTCATGAATCCCATAGTTTTCCTACAGATTTGGGTCCACCACTTGCTTACACAACAAAAACGAACAAACAAACGGAACGGAACGGTACGGCATTCAATGCCACCAGAGATCTGTGTCAGATATTTCCATATTGACATTAGGCAATGGAAATTGTGAAATCTGAAATTCTGAAATCTGAAATCAAAAGGAAAACAACTCGACAACAAACGGTGACGTTTTTATTTGATAAATCAATAATTGGAATTCCTTGAATTGACAATCTCTTGATTTTAATTAGCAAAAGTGGGCGGGGTTCTCTCGGTCTGATCAGCTGACCTTGAGTCGAGGAGGGGCACATACATATATACATGTATGTATCTCTGATGATAAGATAACACAACAACCGGTACAAAAACCCATACAAGCCCGCAAATTAGCACGAAATTTTACGAGAGAAGTGCAGTGTCGAGCATCTGCGATCACGTGAGAGCGAATGGAAACTCATGAATATTCACATATGTATATTCAGGTGGAAACTGAATGGCTGAGCGGGCACGTGATATAATGATGAGACCAGACCCCACAGACCTCCGACCAAAGCGGGAGAGCGACCCTAAAAAGTTCAATCAGCTACCCGTAGAGTGCTGTTCCAGCGAAAACCAATTGGTTTTTTTCTGCCAGCCCCAAACGTGCACACGTGCCGGATGGATCGCCTGGCAACAGAGCCGCAACGAGGGCAACAATACCAGGGGCCCCCTGTAAATTGCTCTCTGGCGTGCTGGTCTCAGCGAAAAACAATTCAATATATAAGCAGCTACTGGCGCAGACACACAGCTACAGAATGAGAAACAACAAACAAATTGGACACACAACAAAGGCCAATTGAAGGCGGTCTGTCGCTTGGCTTTTACGCACACGCAGCAGCCAGAAACGAAGTTTCGAGATATACCAGAACGAATGGAAATGAATGGAAACCTCCGATGAATAGAGAGGCGACACAAAGTAGCCGCAGGCTTTGTTCCAAGGGAATTCCAAGGCAATGAATCACCAACAAAGTTGATTTTCGAGCAACAATGAAGATGGGAACATGTTCGTACACCCTGTCCTTCGATCCGTTACTCTTTCGGCATGGGGAATGCATATCAAAAACAATATTTCCACTGCGAAAACTTTCCTCTACTGCGTACGCTTCCAATTCCAAATGCTAATCGAATGCCAACGATCTCCACAACCCCACACACATCAGTGTCCATCCGCATTCCCCAACTAATAGACAGCCACAAATGACCCAACGTCTAATAAGTGGGTCAAAATAACACATTCACATCGTTTAGTGGCAATCAAATGTGCAGAAATGTGCAGACCCGCATCCACCATGACTCATGCGGACCTCGAAAAACGTCGACGTTGAATGCATTAATCATTGGAAACCACCATGGAAACCAGAGTGTCCCGTCTTCCGTCCACCGTGTCCCTCCCCCACGTATTTATGAGAATTTCTGTGTGAATTCCACCATGCATGCTCGTACGAATATAAGGCACGTTTCTGGCCCGTGAGGTGGTGACCTGGCGGAGGAGGGTCATCATCCAGAGGAGTGTGGTATGTGTGTGGCTGCATTGGAGAACGTGTCTACGTGCCCGCCATCGAAATGCTAATGGACGCCGCGACGAACACAGGCCCGAGAGGCCACCAACGGAACGATGACGATGACGACGACAAAGACGACGATAAGACTGACGCGTCGGCGGAACGAATTGGATCGATGCGAATCGAGATCGCAACGGGATTCGGAATCGTAGAAATTTTAAGATCAGCTAAAAATATTTGTATAATTTATAACACTTTCGGGTATTTATAGACTTCCTGCAGCATGCGTTTGTTGTTTTTTGTTTATTTGGAGAAAGATATATCATACTGGCAGTTTATTAGATACATTTACTTGTTGTTTGCTTTGACGTGTTGTCTTGCTGAACATTTGTGAGTTGATTAGCCTACATGATGGGCCCTTTTGGATGTATAGACAGATACACTTGGAATCCATAAAGGGCATCATGTAACACAAACGTAGCCAGCAAACAAACACACTTTATCAGAGTTCTTTGGTAAGACACACGCACACGCACACGCACACTTATCACTTGGTCACTGGGGGATCACTAGGGCGATCACTGGGGGATCACAAATGTATATATATTCGTATTCGTAGTGGTTCCAATGGTTAATGGCGTCGTTGACAAGATCCCGAAATCGAAAACAACGAGAGACAGCTGCGTTTGCAAGTGGATAAGCCCTCCTCCTCCTTCTCTCCTCCTCCTCATCATCATCATCAACATCACAATGGCGTCTGCTGGGAAAGAGGTGGGTCTGGAGCAACTGTCTCGTCGTGCAACAAACCCGAGATCTCACTGACGCATGGAAAACTCTATAGATTAGATATACTCTCGTACACTCTCTCGCACACACACATATATATATATATATATGTATGTATATTTCTGCAGTAGTACTCCATATTATATGGCGGTGGGGTGGCTGTGCGTCACGCCCGTTTTGCTGTTTATCGCGTGTTTGCTTATCTCTTTTATTTGTGTTTCTTTTTCCTTTATCTTTTTTTCTGTTGTTTCTTCTCTTTCTTTTTCGGTTGGTTTTCATCTCTTTGGCTGTTGATTAAAACGGAGGGCGCGTAATGCAAATTAAAAACACTCGAACGACGACGAAGACGCGACAAAAGTGTGTTTACTTCGAGGGGCAGCTGATAAGGAAACACACACACACACACAATCGTTTGATATGTATGTTTTTTTTTTAACTAACCGCACCGCACCGATCGTCGAAATAATTATTGAAAAGGTTTATAAACTGTTTGTATCGTTAGCTGCGATAATTATCACGGCTAGAAGCATGCTATTGTTAGCCACACGTGTGGTATGCGTAATCAAGCCATATCGTATACAATTATGGAAGCCCCTTCTCCACGGAAATTGGAAAACAAATCAAATCAAGCTGCATATTTGATGATGGGGGGCTGGCCTTTGTAGGATATTTATAGGGTTGAGAGCATGCCCAGGAGTGGCCACTGAATACCAAAATAGCCCAAATATAATACTCAATCAAATAAATGCGACAACAACAAGGAGGTACATGGGAGAAAGACAAAACTTGTTGACCTTCAAAAGGACACCGACTGGCACCCATGTCTACGTCTACGCCTACGCCCACGGGACACAGCACACTGATATCGGGACACGGAGGCGAAGACGAAGACACCCCCCCTAGGCAGACACACAAACACGTGTGTACCAGGCCCCCACACCCCCCCCCCCCCCCCCCCCCCCCCCCCCCCCCCCCCCCAATCAATGGAACGGGGCGGGGTGCTATTAACTGATATTTATAGCCACGTTTTGGCCGTTGACATTTAGCCGGGAATAAAGCTCGCGACCACTCGGGGGCCGCGACTAAATTATTGAACGAGTCTCTGGCCACACTAACGGACAGACACCCCGAATTCGGATCCGAATTGGGTTCCACTCGGACACGTTTAATGAAATTCAAGTTCAGAAATACTCGTACACAAAAACACAGATGCGGGAAGGGGCAGGGGCATGGGAGGGAGTGGGGGAGATTGGTTTGGGGGAACGTCACGTTTGGCGGGTCGTGCGTTGCTTTTTGTGTGCCTCTGTTTCTGTTTGCAAAAACCCGAAAAAAAAGATGAAATTAAATAAAACTAAAGCACAAATCCGGCCAAGAATAGATCGACGACAGAGTCTGCCCACGTTTTTAGCATGTTTTCTCGCCCGATTTTCGCATTTCACGAGTGTTTTGCAAATGTTTTCTAGCTCAAAGGCTATAAATAGAGCCCACACGATCCACACCCAATCCACAACACGCACACTCGCATACACACAAACACACACACACACACACACACACAACAGCACTGCGAAGGCCGTTACAAAGCCAGACGACGGCGACGACGACAACGACGAAAAAGAAGAAGACGACTTAAGCTAACAACTAATTTTGGAGACTAAAATCTACACTAAAACCATTAATTAATGCATAGACTTAAGCGCGCAGGTGAAAGTGAGTGTTTTTTTTTGTTGCATTTTTTTGTTTTTGTTTGGAGCTCTGCTTCGGCGGGATCCCTGTTTATACCTACCTCTCATACTTCACCGGATGTGCGGCATGTCCGTTCGATTCGTTCCAAAAGGGTTCCATGCTGCTGTGGCGACTCCCGGTCCCTCCTGCTGTTGCGCCCTCTGCTCCGGCTGTGTCTGGTTGCTCTGCTGTCCTGGACTGCTGCTGCGACTGCTGCTGCGTCAACGTGGCTTGCAGTTGCGGTGGAATGGTGGAAGGTGGGGTGCGCTCCTTACGTCAATGCAGAAATAATTGTACGAATTCCAAGATAAATGCCGGGGGGAGGGCGAATTATGGCTGAGCAAACAGGTTGTCGACGGGTGGCGGCGAAGGCGAAGGCGAAGGCGAAGGCGAAGACGAACACGAACACCGACGGCAAATTTAGATCTACGGCGAAGCAAAGCTCTCACTCTCTTTCTCTCTGTGTCTCTCTGTCGCTCCTTCGGGTGGTTTGTTACACAAGGATGGCCGTTGCGGGTCGGGTTGTTACTGTTGTTACTGTTATTTAGGTACAATTTGGTATCACACTTTTGTTGCACTTCTCTCGATGAATAATATCCAATACTCGTTGCACTTGCCGAACACGCTGCGTTGTTGCTGTCTTAGATATAGCATAACATTCCCGAGCTATGTATTTATTTATGTTGGAACGAATGGAATTATACCGATAAGTCTGGCCAGCTTAGGGTACGGTACGGTACGGATTGGACTGTGGCTGTCAGGGTCTTATCAGCAGTTAGGTTAGCCTTTTGTTTGCTCGTGTCTTTCTGTGTGCGTATGCGTGTACGCTGGCCAGGCGATAACGAAGCGGCGATAAAGCTATTTTCTCCTTGTTGTACTTGGCAGCAGCTCTACATCTATTTTTGGTGGGGGGCAGCAATTAAAAGTGCACTTGTTGGAGCATCCACTGTGGCCTCTCTCTCTCTCTGTCTCTCTCTGTCTCTCACTCGCGACGATGTGAACAAAAAGGCAACAATGAATAAATGTCGAAAAACGTGATTACTGCTGCTCGGCGCTCGGCGCACTCGATTCGGGGGACCGTTTACACGTTTTCAGCTTTTATAAAATTTTGTATAAACTTTTATTTGTTTTATTAATACACGACACCCAGCAGCAGCAGCAGCAGCAACAGCAACAATAACTTCCTTTCACAGTGGAATTTTACCAGCAACAGCGCCGCCTACATACATTTATACATACATACACACACACACACACACATCTGTAGGTGAGAGCATATGAGCGATTTGGTATGCGTGTGCGTGTGTTTCACTATTGTGGCACTTTTGTACATATAATAAATTTGTTGCTGCCTCCAGCTAATTTGGCCGCTGCTCTGCTCTGTTGTTTTTCTCTTTTTTTTTGTTTTTCGTTTTGGTTGAACTAAGCAGTTTTTTCCTCCGTTTGTTTGTTATTTTGCACAGTCACTTCCACTGTACGTAAACGCTCTTCGTCCGCGTCCGTTCGGTGCCAGAAATAAAATGAATGAATGGTACCCGCCGAACGGCACGAGACCCCGAAAACGACGGCTAGCAGCGCGATTTGATGACGTTCGAGATTCCCCGAGCGCGGCGGAGAGACTCGGAGATAGTCGGAGAGCATTGTAGGCAACATGTGAGCACGGAAGAGCGCAGTGAGCGAGCCAGCGATAGATGGGGCTGCGGGCTCCACGTTCCTCAAGTCGTGTTCGGCCTCAAACACATGTGTGTGTGTGTGTTGTGTGTCGCCGATGTTATCGCATTTCGTGCGCTGCGAACGTGATTGCCACAGTGGGGCCAGACACCTTGATTTGCGGTACAAATATCACATGGGCACCCGTAGTTTGAAGAATATTTGTATAGTCTACTTTCGCAGACAAGCCCCTGCCATTGACAATACATATACTGAAAATAGGTTTACAATCTTAACATAAATATAAATATAAATAAAGCAGAGTATCAACCCGGAGTAGATTTCGAACTGACAGCTAAATTTCCTTTCGGCCTCTTACCTAATATTGGCCTTTAAAAGAAACAAAATGTAGCACTGGCAAAGACTTGTTTACCATGATGTTTTCAGATGTCTGGCACAAGCATGTTATCTCCCGGAGATTAACAAATAAAAAGAAAATCCACATTAATTTATTGTATTTCGAATCAGTGTGCCCAAAGCATGTGAATTCGAATCCGCGAGCACTGTGCTCTGCTGCTGCCGGATGACTAGACTTCATTTTACGGTCGCCGTCGCCGTCGCCGTCGCTGTCGGCGCACTTACACAACTAAAGCTGGGTGTTGTTGTTGTTGTTGATTTGGGATAGGCATAAATATGTTGCGTGTAAATTATATTAATAAGCATTTACTCTCTGTGACTGATTGTTATAAATAAGCTAGCCATATGTTTTTCAAGTACAAATATCTGATCGAAGATGGGCACACCCACGCCCGGTCTTGGGAACATTGAGATTGAGCCATTACAATTACAGTGTAACTCGATTGATCAACATTGTGTCTGTGCCGGCCTGACCCTTAATTTAATGTACCTTGGGCAGCGGAGACCACTCAGAAAAAAATAAAAACAAAATATTCAAAATATATACATAATAATAATAAAGCGAAAATCAACGACGCAAAAGCCCAAGGCATCAGCCGAGCAACCCAACAACAGCAGAGCCAGCGGCCAGCACGGCCAGCAGCGGCATACAATAAAACACGTGAACGTGACAAATTCCAAAGCGAAATCCAACAGGGCGGCGGCTGAGAGCGGCAGTCAGAGAGAGACAGAGAGCGGCCAGCTTGAGAGCTGATAAACACTCGCTTGGCAACAACAATCGGCACGAATGTGAACACATAAACACTTACACGCTCGCACGCACACGCACACGGACACGGACACACACATGCACTCGAACATGTCGGCCGACATTTTGTTTTTATTACAGCGCGCAACAGTCCGTTGTTTTTGTTGCTGCTGTTTTTCGTTTCGTTTTTCTTTTTTTATAATCAAAATAATAATCATACGCTGCGTTGTCCCGTCATCGATGTCTCTCTCTCTCTCTCTCTCTGTCTCTCCCCTCTCATTCCTACTCACTCTCACTCTATTGACGACCAGAAGCTTAACGTTTTTAATCGAGACACGTTGAAAGTGGCAAATACACAAAAAAATTCGTGGCGCATGACGTAATTTCTCACGCGAGCCGAGCATGTCAGCCATTCCACACAGACACGCACACACACAGGCAGAAAGAGACTTACACACACACACACACACACACAATAATGTAAGACCTCAAGTTTGTTGTTGGTCACGTGTCTTTGAAATGTTTTTGCCTCCAGAAAGCGCACTGTGTTTATATTAACGCCGACTCGGAGTCGGTTTCGGACTCAGACTCGGATTCGGATTCGGATTTGATTATTTAATTTCCATTGTGTTGGATTTTCCAGCTTGTTGATTGTATTTAAATGGCAGCTCCAGCTATTTTTAGAGCCGGCTCTGGCCCCAAAGGTCACGCGAACAAACACAAATACAGTCGCAAGAGCCGCGATCCGCGATGATAAATGACATAAACGTGTCCAATTATCCACTGGGCTTGCGTAACTTCTGATTTGGCCCAACCATTTGAGCCATGGTCTGGTGAACGGTATACCCTGTCAGGGAGAGGGTGTAGAAGTGGGCTCTGGGCAGCAAAGATTAACTAGTTTTCGACCCTAAGGCCTTGCCTATTCCTATGAAAACTAATCTCTCTGTATTCCTCGGATTCCCTTATCAAATGACATGATGATTCGAATAACAAGTGATATTTTTCAAATGAAATCAGCTAAAGACTTGAATAATCAAATTTAAAAAACATAAAGCAGAAGTTTTTGTATGAATCACTTCTTTAAGTTTCACTTTCACTTACATACATATGTACATACACACACTATCATATAACTCTTTGGATCTGAACTGCCAGGGTATCCCAAGTTTCGGCCAGGCCTTGCTGTCGTGCTTTTGTTTTGTTTTCGCTGCTTGTTGATCTCAGAGCTAATTATAAGTGGCACGTGCACTCGTATGGCATTTCGTTACGTATGGGGCCCGAGGTCGCAACGGAAATTACACACATGCCCGCCCCATGTGAGGCACTTGCAAAGACATCAGAACTTCTGGAAGCGGCTCAAGTTACTCATGTGGTGTGGCCACATTCCCCCACACAGGGAGCGAGCGGTGCCCAACCAGCCGACCACCCAGCCACCCAGCCACCCACCCACCACGTTATCGCGGCAGTAGCATATTTATTTACTGTACGGCTCGGCTCGGCTTGTCTCGGCTCGGCTCTGCTTGACTCGGCTCTGCCCGGCTCGGCTCTATGCTCACGTGTTGCTAATCGTAGGTGCGCTACGTGGCCCGCCTCTCGTCTCGCGGCGCTCGGAATTTCCACGAGCATGAAATGCAATCATCCCATGAAGTGCAAAAGAGGAGGAGGAGGGCCAGAGGCATTTGCAGTGTGACGAAAGGTTTGCTTTTCGAAAACGAAACAGCATAACACAAAGGCAAACACTTGTAGATTGCCCTCTCATGTTTTCCTCTGGAGCGGGGAGGGGGAAGGGGAGCTTATCGGGCTCGTTTGTTTATCCCCCCATTTGGCTGGTTAAAGTTTAATCACGAACGGTGAAAACTGCTCTGCAGGAAAACCCCAACGAAAGTACTTGCAAGCATTGGTGGGGCCTGGCGAAACTATTTGTACATACGATTGCCAGGAGAATGCACAGTGGGGCAAAATAGGTCTCTGGGAAAACATTGTTATGAATGAATAACTTTAACAACTGTAATTAATAGTTTGTCTAGCGGAATGATTTCCATATGCCACACTTAGAGTTACGTAACATCAATCGCTGGCTAATTATTCAACAATATACGTTATCCAATATGCATACATCAACCTATATACATATATATACCATAATGGTATAGACCACTGTGCCTGTGTGCTACACATCAAACGCTTATGATAACCACAAATAATCGTGAGGCAAACTTAATTGTTGTGCCTTCACACACAGGTGCCATTCACACCTGTAATTGGGACTGACATTGACGAAATCACCAGACCAAGAAAGGGCCCCAGGCCCCCGGACCCCGGCAGTGAAGTGGTGCAGAAAATGAGGGCTCTAATCGTGTTATATCTTAATTGGAACCTCTCAACTGGGCTTATCGCCTCATCGGAATCAACAACTTGAGATCGCGTGAAATGACAGAACATTTTCTTATCATCCTGCGAAATTTCGATTTCAAAGTCGAGGTGAAATCTAATATAAAAAAACAAAAACAGCTGATAAGAACTAGTACTATCACAATAAAAACCTAGAAAAAAAAAAGAAAAGAAATGTTAAAATAATAACAAGTTGAAACGAACACACAAAAATTCAAGTAGAACGGGTCTGAAACTACATACATATATGTACATATAATACCTACAAGTATTTGAACAGAAAATTGCGATTGTAGCTGCTGGTGCTGCTCTTTGCTGATATTTCTATTTGATTCTTGATGTTGTTGTTGTTGCTGTTGTTATGTAGATTAGAAATCTCGAGAAATGTTTATAAAAAGCCCCAAGCGAGAGCCCCCAACACAACAGACAGGGACAGGGGCAACGACACGTGCGCCCGCAGCTGGACAAATATAATATATGTATAATTTTACACACACATGCCCGTATATACAGGTATTTTTTAGTATATATGCCAGGGAATATTATTAGTCGCAGATAGAAATGTGTATGTATGGACATTTGAGCTATATCGGGGATCGCTGAATGTCAAGTGGGAGGTGAGAAGCTCAGCTCAAGGACGCAGCGAGAAATTCTGGATGGAACAGAACCCCATTCCAAACAGAAATCCCCAACAGATACCAAGGGGGTGGGGCTAATTTGAATTGCTCTTAATGAGGCTTTAATAAGGTGCTAAAGATCTCAAAGCCGCAATAATTATTTACACTTTTGAGTGTTTATTCCTAAAAAAAAGAGGGTCATTAATATATGTACATATTTTTAGGCTTATTCAAATGTGACATATGTTTTCAAATGCGTTTTTATTATTTAAATAATGGAATAATAATGAATGAAATTTAAAGAGTACCAAAGAGTAACTACCTCTAAAAAAAAACTGATGAAATCTTTTAACACTTTTGTTGTTCCAATTTTTTGTGTACACTAATTTCAAAGTCTCTATAGCTCATGGTGGATAAATTTTAACTAAGGAGGTATGTGTAAGAAAGCCTATAAAATATCCCTGATCCTAAACTACTATATTTTATCCCATTCCTGTTGGAGCTACTTCATTTCAGTTAGTTTTGATGAACATTCTTTAATAAATGTATATAGTCTACAGTCTCTATCGAATTGTCTCTCTTCCTATTTACTTGCCTCATTTGCCATCCATTGATGATTTGGATCGAGTGTGCTTACGGCTACGGCTTTGAGTTCTACTATTGGCCGGGGTTGGGTTATGTAAAACC